TTACATAGTCATCTAACCATTTAGGAAAACTTATTATGAATATGAGTGGGCTGAAAAAATAGAGAGGAACTTTGGGCTTAGGGACAAAAAACCAAAAAAAAACTTTATGGATTAAATATTTAGTTAAAAAATACATTGTAGCTGACCACTTAAAAAAAATATAATGACTCACAATGTATACCAAATCATTGAAATACAAAATAGATCTAAAAATAACGTTGAAGTATTTTTTGTTTAAGAGTAGCTTAAAAATGAGGTTTAAAAATAAATGGTATGACATTGGATTTAGAACGAAAATATAGAAGGTTATAACAAAATATACTCACATATGATGAGCGGTGAAAATGTAAAGTGAGTTTAAGATTTATTCGAATGAGTATTTTGGATCTCAATAGTGATATTGGAGGTGAGTGACTTTAAGGGGGTGTTTGTTTCAATTTTTTTTTGGAATATAGGGTGGATTTCAAGTTTTGGGATGTAAAAAGTGCTTTTTTTGAGTTTTGGGATTCCATAAACTTTGTTTGTTTCAAAATTAATTTTGGGATATTGAATCCCTAAATTATAAAAAAATAATATATTTTTAGGATTTGTGAAATCTTCCCTTTTGTTTCAACTTTTTTTGGGGATATAAGGTGGATTACAAGTTTTGAGGGTTTTAGGATTCCATAAACAATGTTTGTTTCAAAACCAATTTTGGGATATTGAATCCCCAAATTATAAAAAACTATTATATTTTAGAATTTGTGAAATCCTATTTTTGAGAGAGGATTTGGGTTGGTTATTGCACCTATATATTATTAAAAAACTATTATATTATATTATATTAGCATGCTATACTATACAATAATTAATATAATATAAAATTAATATATTATATATAATATTATAATAATATAATATTTAATATAATACATCTATTCCTCATAGGAGGACCCAAGAATCACTGTTCATAAATGTTGCAGTAACTACCCGTAGCAAATTATATATATATTATATATAATATTATATAATATATATATTATAATATATATATATATATATATATATATATATATATATATATATATATAATATATATATTATAATATATAAAAATATATATTATATGGAAAAGTGAATCTAAGGTGACACCGATGTGATTCCTAAATTTTTTTACGATCCGCTCCGTTGAACCTTGATCTACATGTTCTTAAACCCAAACACACCAATTTTGAGGCTGAACCATGGTGTTTTTGACCTTTATCCACTCGCTGCAATTTTAACGGTTTCGAAATGAATAGAACTTTTTGCACGGTTCAACGAATGGTCAAAACACAACGGTTCACACCCTAAAATTGGTGTGTTTGGGTTTAAGAACGTGTAATCACAAGTTCAACGGACGGATCGTAAAAAAATTAGGAAATAAATGTGATTCTAGCCCGCGTCCTTAGGTGCTGGAGCCTACAGGTGTCACCTTAGATTCACTTTCCCATATTAATAATATATTTATATTAATATATATATTAATATTAATACAAAGAATCACTATTCTGCTGTAGTAAATTGACTGCAGACAAATTACTGTACAGTGTACATATAAATTATATAATATATAATATAATAATATTATATATAATATATATAATATTATAATATTATATATATACAGAATCATTGTTTTCATGCTGTAGTAAATGCTGGCGTAAACTACTTGGGAGCTATTATATTATATTTATATATATATATATATAATATATATATAATTATATATATATATATAATATATATGTATATATATAATATATATTAATATATAATATATATATTATATATAATATATATAGTAAAATATATAATATATATATTACATATTATATATTTTATAATATATATATAAACATATAATATATATATATATAATATATATAATATATGATTATATTATATTATATAACTATATATATATCTCATATATTAATATATTAATATTATATACATACTATTATATATATTATATATAATATGTAGTATTATATTTACAAAATCACTGTTCATGCTGTAGTAAATGCTGTAATAAATTACTGTAGCATTTTATATTATATATATATATATCATTATATATATATATATATATATATATATATATTATATATATATAATATTATTATATATATATGTTTATATATATATATATATATGTATATATATATATATATATATATATATATATATATTAATATTATATATATATATATATATATATATATATATATATATATATATTAATATAGTATATATATATTATATATATATATATATATTATATATATTTAATATATATATATATATATATATATTATATACTTTATATTAATATATATATTATATAATATATAGAATCATATATAGAATTATATATTTATATATAATATATATATTATTTATATTATATATATATATTATATATATATTAATATATTATATATTATATATATATATATATATATATATATTATATTATATAATAATATATGTTATTAAAATATTATATAATATTATAATATATATTTTGTACTATTATATAATACAGTATGTGATATTGTTATTATTATATTGGTTTAATATAATACACTATAATATAATAGATAAAAAAATATCTATTATAATTAATATAATATATTATATAATAATATATGTTATTAAAATATTATATAATATTATAATATATATTTTGTACTATTATATAATACAGTATGTGATATTGCATAATTATATATAATAAATATCATAAAATTAATTATACGTATAAATTACAAATTACAGTATTCCAAATCCCAAAATATTGATGAAACAAACAAAATATTACAAATTATAGTATTCCAAATCCTAAAATATTAATGAAACAAACAAAACTTTAGAGATTCCAAAACCCACAAAAAAATTTGGGATTTCAAATTCTATAGTGAAATCCATATCCATAAATTTTGGGATTTGAAACAAACACCCCCTAATAATAAATGAAGGCAAGATTTTAGGCGCATACACAAGAACTCCTTTTAGGGAGAGAGTAAGTTTAAAAGGCAATAGGCTAAAATTTTAAGTTTATACAAAAAAAAAATATTTTCGATCCCACCTCATTAGCATGGAATAAACAAAAATGCAACATTGTTTAATATTTTATTTATAAAATACATGGTGTACCAAAACGGTAGGATATCTATGAGAACTACCCCCTATAAAAATAAGGTGATTTACACCATTGATAGAATAACAATAATTTACAAACTAACCATTTATCCACCCATGAGTGGTATAGATTACCCTATTAGATATGTTGTTCTAATAGAATCCTTACTCTATCTAATCACTTAGGACAAAACTTTACATGTAAAAATAAAATATAACAACTTACATGTATAAAAAAACTGCTAGAATACTTTTGAATATTTAGAAAAAAAACCTTTGCAAAGTGGGTGGATTTAAAAAAAATGAGCATAAAACCTTGAACTTATACGAAGAAATTTATCTACCATTTACAACATTGCAATAATGTGGAAAGAAACCTAAAATAATGCTTAAACATTTGGTCTAAAACACTGTACACCTAGATTTTTAGAAAAGAAATATAGCAAGTCAAAGTTGAATATAGCAGCTTAAACCATATGTACAAACTGTCACAAATTAAGCTTAAAAATAGGTTGATGCGGTGTTTTGACTCTAATAATGATTTTTGAGGTGTGTAGTTTAAAATAAATATATCCAGTACTTTAGATTTATAATAAAAAATCATTGTAATGGGTAGGTTTGAAAATAAATAAGGATAAAATTTGTATCTAATTAATCAATCTACAATTGTAACTTATGATTAACAAATTTATGAAATATAAATTAAGTTTAAAAGTAATTCATTGGAGTATTTTAGGTCAAAAACTGATTATGAAGTGAGTGAATTTAACAATAAATTAGAAAATTTTGGGTTTACAGTAAAAAACTCTTTATATGGTCCTTCATTATATTATTTTATTATTGGAGTTAGTGGAGTATTTTAGGTTGATGATTAGTTTTTCAAGTGGGTGGGCTTAAAAGTAAAATTTGGTTTATAGATAAAAAAACATTATTTATTGTTACTTTTAACTACATTCAACTGGTGTTGTGGAGCTGAGAAAAGTTTTAAACCAGCGGACAATTATGTACTTGAGATGAATTTTTGAAGTGGTGGACTTATAAGTAAATTAAATTGGGTTGAACCTTGGGTTTGTAAACCAAAATTATCTATTGTCTCTTTTAACAGTAATCTATTGGGGTATACTGTAGAATGAATACTGTTAACTCCAATAGCTTTATCTTCATTATATTATTATATTGGAGTTGATGGAGTATTTTAAGTTTATATTAAATTTTCAAGTGGGCGGACTTAAAAGTAAACCGGGTCAGCTTATTGGGTTTGCAGATAAAAAACTTATTTATTTGTTGTTACTTTTAACTACATTGAACTGGTGTTGCGGAGATGAGAAAAGTTTCAAACTTGTAGAGCATTATGTACTTGAGATAAATTTTTGAAGTAAAGCAAATTGGGTTGAACATTGGGTTTATAAACAAAATTTACCTAATATTTTTTTAAATTTAATGGTTGGAGCGTTTTACCCCCTTATCATATTCCCGGACCTATTTATGAAAGGGTTTAAACCCAATACACGCTAAAAGAAAAAAAACCAAACTCACTTGAGTTTTTCTTCTCTAATGCATAGAAAAGAACCATAACCTACGTTGAGCTTCACAAAGGTTTAAAACATGATTATGAGTATGATTAGCTTTTTTTAATTGAAATACTAATAAAAGGACCAATTTGCAACATCCTATAAGATATGAGGGACTAAAATGCAACTATTAAGATCTGAGGGATTATTGTGCAATTATTTTGGATGTAAGGGACTTATCTAAAAACCCCAAAATGGTAACATAAGAGCATCGGGGATTCGGGGGCGGTTTCAGACGAGAAATTGCGAGCCCTCAACTGCAAATTGACGAAAGACGAGCCCACATTCGCATAAATCCCATCCCCGCGGACAACTCAGCGCATCCTTCTTCCTATATCATTTCCTCCGACGACAGCCTTCGATAAATCCCCGTTCATGGCGGAGACGCTAAAACCCTAAAACCCTCGATCTCAAATTCCTGAGATCTCTGTACACACAAGAGATCGGGTCAAATGAGCTCCACCATTTGTTTAGCTCTCCTCTTGCTCTCCTTCCACCTTCTCTTCTCTGCAGGAGAATCGAAGTCTCAAGCTTTCAGGCGAGATCCAGGGCATCCTCACTGGCACCATGGAGCTTTCCACGACGTTCAGGACAGCGTTCGAGCCGATGTTCGTCGGATGCTTCATACTCGTGCGGAGGTAAACCCTAATCGAACTTCTGATCTTGATCTTGATCGTTGCTCTGTAGAGAATTTGGGGTTTTTTTTAATTGATTTGATTAGATGTGAAGTATTCTGAAGTTCCTATGCCAGGCAATGAACAAACTTTTGATTTTGATTATATGTGAAATATTACTAGTCTAACTAAATAAAAAGGAATTGTGGATTAAAGTTAGGAATGTGCTAGGTATTAGCATGAGATACAAAATTCCGACGAACATACTTTTCAACTCCCTCTAGTTTTGCTCCTGATTCACAATTTTGTCAATTGTGAAATGAATCAAATCAGAAGCTTGGAGTCAAAATTTGAAAGTTTTTATAAATGGATTTGGCCTAACCCTGACCAACTGAAGGAGTCAGAGTCATTTGATTATGTCTGTGATTTCCAGAATCTTGGTATTAGAGTGTGACAGTTAAATGACTCCAAGATTTACCAGGGTGTTTTTTTTACTCTTCAACATGTTAAAATTATGGCGACCACTATTAGGGCCTTTCCGTTCCTTTTGGACAGCCTTAGACTTAGCTTCATTAGAAGAACCATCAACCATGGCTTCTTTTGTTTGCTTGGCAACAAAAAATACTAGTAACTAGGACGTAATACCTTTTCCTTAGTTTTATTCCCCTGAGACAAAGGGAGGTGGGCATGTTAAAATTTTACTCTCTGTTGCTGTTTGGCTACTTTTTGCTCTTCCAAAACGAAGTTCGAAATTTACTGAAGAGATTTTAGTTAGGCATGGCTGGCACATAGGATCAATGTGGGACCTTAAGAAGCAACTATTAAAGATATTATTTTTTCCAGTTGTAGATCATCCTTGGTTCTTAATGTCAAAGCCCTTTGGTTATTCGGTTCTTGTTTACTGTTCATTTTTCAATTTTTGAAGGAGTTGTGTTGTGTGAAAGTTAGAAATCTCATCAATTAATGAAACCAGAATTGTGGACATTTTCTTTCTAAACTTAATATTTCTTAAAAATAAAGCCAAACTAGTAGGAAGCTGCCCAAGTTTCCTGTACAGTGATCCTATGGTTTTATTCTGTAGCAACCTTATGTGGGAAATTACTGTAAGCCTGGACAAAGAAACGATGCTGGACCTATGACTGAATCTTACAGAGCTCATCCTATTATCACACAGAAATTGTGAATATTAAAATTTAATTGTTAATTGGTCTGTAGACTATAGATTTAGTAGGTGTCATCCCTTATTTTCTGTTTTCTTTTTCTTTTTCTTTTTCTTTTTTTTTCGTAGGTGAAAATTTTCATATGTTTTCTCTTAACTTATTTATTATTGCGAAGTATAATTTTCTTTTACTAACTATGAGTATTAGACGATCATTGATGTGTGTAAATTGCTGCAGGTTCCCTTTCAGGTTCCACTTGAGGTTAACATCGTTCTTGTTGGTTTCAATGGAGATGGAGGCTACAGATACTCGCTAGAGGCGCATAAGCTGGAGGAATTCCTCAAAAGCAGCTTTCCAACTCATCGACCCTCGTGCCTTGAGACAGGCGAGCCAATTGACATTGAGCATCACATAATATACAATACAATACCGGTAAGCTACTTAGAGGACTTACCATATAATCTGCCTTGTCAATGGACAGTACAGATTTTATGCATTCTGATTCTAAAGGATACCAAAACAGTTCAATTTGGCTTGCATATCTGCCTTCTTCTAAATTATCATATTGAAAAATGAGCTTGTTTGAAGTGGTGTGACACTTATTTCCCGCATAGTAAGCTGCAGGTTTGATCTGTGGGTTTGATTCTCTTCAAGAAGTTATTTTTTCTTTCATGGGGTCTTTCTTTCCCCTATTAAGGGCTTTGTCCAGGGGCCTTTCTCCCAAAAGAAAGGAGAGGGGGAACTACCTAATGTAATGGTTTAGATGTAGCGTAAAATATTATTCAGATTTCTTCCATCTTGATATAACAAGGTCCATTTATTTCTGACCAAAGAATGCTTACTAGTGTAGGCTGGCCAACCAGAATTGTTAGCTCTTGAAAAGGCACTGAAGGATGCAATGGTTCCAGCAGGGACTGCACGGGAGGTGAAAGCCAATTATCAATCATGTGTTGTCTCATACTGCAAAAAGTAGTATATTTCTGAAATCATAAAGTACGTCCATACTAGGAATAATTACAATTGGAATTTTCATTTTCAGAGTGAGTATGGAAGGCAGATCCCTCTTTTTGAAATAGATGCTGCTGCTGTGGAGCCAACTTTTCAAAAGTTATATTCTTTTATATTTGACTTGGAAAGTGGTGGATATGCGGCAACTGAAATGGATAGACCTGTACCTGCTGCAATATTTGTTGTCAATTTTGACAAGGTAAAAATTAAAATATATTTTATTCCCTTCAAAGAAAATTCTTATTTCTTATTTTTTGTCTTTTAAGGAACTGAGTGGAAGAATAGGTAGCTGACCCAAAAAATTTGGGATAGAGGCTTTGTTGTTGTTGCTAGATGTTAGTTGACATTTATGTTTGGACTGTTCATTTGTTTCAAACAGTAATTTCTCTTGTTCTCATATTACTTATATTATTATATTATATTTTTGGTTGTATTATGTTTATTTATTTCCCTTTTTGATGCAGGTGAGAATGGATCCAAGGAACAAGGAAATTGATCTTGAAGGTCTAATGTACAGCAAAGTTGATAGTTTAACAGAAGAACAACTGAAAAATCAAGAAGGCGGTTACATTTATCGTTACCGTTACAATGGGGGAGGTGCATCTCAAGTTTGGCTTGGTTCTGGAAGGTAAATAGTTGTTGCTGTCACTGATAGTTCTAGGCTAAATTGGCAAACTTGTATATCTTGTTGACCATATGTACCAACTTGGTATATTTTCTTACTTCGATGACGATAAGGTATATAAAGTGGGACATGGTGACAATAAGGTCTATTTCTTTTGTCATAGCAAAATTTCTGGCAAGATTACCTCACATGATTTGTCACGTGCATCTTACGTGACTTAATTGGGCTTATGTGGCGAACGTTAAGCGATATGAAGAAAAATCCCCAAAATTTCCCCCTTCTCTCTTTTCCCTCTATTCTTTGTTCATGTGTGGGAGAGAATGATTTCTTTTCCAAATTGTAGGGATTCCCTAACTCAGTTTTAATTGCCCTAATCTAGTCTTAATCCTAAGAGGAAGAACACCTAATTTGATCCCCACCCTTTTGAGCCCTAGTTT